CGTCCATTGTTTTCCCATTTTTATGTAAATCAGAGTTTGAAGATTATGATGAATTTTTTCGCTTTTCTTGCACAGATGGTGCCAGCATTCCAGAAATTTGTCGGTGTATTTAATGATTTGTTTAATCTACCTGAACATTAAAACGTTGATAACGACACTAGTCTGGCCAGCACGTGTAAAAACACTGGTCAATTTCAGTGGAAATTCATGACTAAGGTATGAAAAGAGGAAAATGTCCTGGTAGGAACGGTCGGTCATGAGTCACCACAGGCGTGTTCTCCATCACCAGAGACCGTGAACGAGAGGAAATGTCCATGGGTCCAGAAACAGGGCTGGAATAGTGAGCACAGCAGGGTCTTCCTTCCTGAGATGCTTTGAGACTTTTCAAGGTTGGCTCTTCAGTTGAGGTGATGAGGGAAGGTGTTGATACAGGTGATGTTGACGTGCCAGACTTTCATCTCATGTCATCTCGAGACGTTTTAAGAGTAACTCCTTCCAATACCTTTATGGCTACATAAAACTTTAAAAATATGTACCATGCTCTAGCTGGAGGAAATCTAACTGATTATTTAATCCAAACCTTTTACTTTATACCTGAGGCTACCCAGAGAAGTTAAGTGATTTGCCGAAGGACACAAAGTGGCTGATTTATAGCCATAAAAACCACCATGAGACTTACCCTGTGTGTGACATTAATATAGTCATGGCCATGGGATATTAATATAATGGATTTAGTTCTGTTCATATATCAAGTTCAGCCAGATTGCTGGTGGGAAATGACCTCTAGCAGATTCACCAAAAAGCCCCCGAAGTTTCCCCTTTTGGGTGCCCTCGGCTGGGCTCCTCCACGGGAGGCCGGGAGTGGAATTGCTGTCTCTCTCTTGGGCTGGTTTGTTTCTTGCTTCTTTCACATTCACACTGTCTCTTTCCAGCTTGGGGGCAGGGTTGGTGTAGGATGCCTCCTCTGGGTGCACAGGCCCTATCATCATCTTCCCCAAAATGTGCACCGAGCCCTTCCTTTGGGTCAAACCTCATGCCACTGCCTAATCGTTATCGTCTCGTTGAAACTTTAGACACTGGGCTGCAGGTACGGGACCGGAGTTATCCTCATTTTTGTAGATGAGGCTTCAAAGCTGTTCAGTGGCAAAGTCATGGTGAGAAATCCTACCTGTCACAGCCTGAAAGCTGTGTGAACCTGGGCAAGTTATGGAAACACGGGGACTCGGTTTCCTCATCCATAAAATGGGTGGACTTCCTAGTGTTGTGTCAGTGAGTAGTTTACTAACAGATTGACTGGAGTAGTGCTGGTCCTACACAAGCCCTGAATAAATGTGCCTTTATTTTTAGTTACTATCGTATCCCCCCAACCACACTGTCTCCCCTTCCAGACCTTGCACGTGCTACCACATGTCAGACCCAACCCCATATCATGACGGCTTTGCTCGCCCGGTCTCCTGGTACAGACCTGCACTGCCCATTTGGGTAACGGCCTCAAGTGTGGCCCCCTGAGCACCTGAGATGTGGCTCACCCAAATTGAGATGTGCTATGAGTGCAAAATCTACATTGGCTATCAAAGACTTACTATGGAAACAAGAATGCAAAATTTCTCACTCACATTTTTTATGCTGATTGCATATGAAGTGGTAATATTTTTAACATGTTGATTTAAATAAATATCCTAAAATAAACATCATTTGTTTTAGTCTTTTTTTTTTCTTTTTTCACTTCTTACTTTTTTCCCCTCCCCAAAGTGTTACTAGGAAATTTTAACATGTGACTTGCATTATATTTCTTTTGAGCAGTGCTCATGTAAAGTTCCCCTCTGTTTTCTCCGTCAGATTCCCAGAAGGAGTGTCTGGTTCAACTCTGCTCGAAAGTGCCCTCCCCTGGGACCAGGTATTGTCCCCATCTGCTGCCAGCTCAGTGAAGGCTGTGATGTGACAGGCAGTGAGGGCCGTGTCTAGTCGAAGGCGTCCTCTTGGTTTCTAACCAGAAATGTCAACTGACATATTCAGCATTTTAGGTGTGCTTTCTTGAATCTTTGCACCCCTTTCTAAATTAATAGTTGGGCCTTTGAGAACCCCAACCTCAGGGGAGTTGTGCTTTAAGGCCAAAGCAGAGGGGTTGGTAGGTTTCAGAGGTAGATTATTCCAGTTGACCAGGTGGGAGGGGGGATGCTGAGGAGGAAGGAGGGTGGGGAGACATTTGGAGCAGAGGGGAGTGGAGAAGAGGTTAGCCACACTCCCCCAGCAGCAGGGTGAGGTGCTCAGAGGAGCGCAGTGGGGGACCTCACAGGGGAATCTTCTGCATTGCTACAGATTTGAGCCCCTCTTTTGCATGGGAGCTGTTGAATTAATAGCCTCCAAGAGGCCAAATGAGCTTGGAAAAGTAGGGGAATAGCAGTAATGGAAGACCCTCAGCCTAATAATTTAAGTCTTCTAGATTTTCTCATGACTCAATGGGAGACTGAGATTCCCTCCATCCTCCTACGACAGAGGCTGAGAGGAAGCAAATTTGATTGGTTGGAATTCAGTGGGGCTGGGGGTGGCTATTGGAGTCCTAGGCCAAGGAAGGTCCACTTCCCTGAGTGTTTGTAGGGTAGAGAGTCTCAAATTTTCTGATGTAGAGACTAGGCTTAGTGATCAGACCATTGCTTTCTCTGGAGTCCCCAGCTCATATCTCTCTGCACCATCAATTCTAGAATTACCTTTTGGACTCTCTGCATTTAGTCAGCTACCAAACCCCACTAAGTCTGCCTACAAACCATCTCCTTAGTCCATTCTACTTTCTTTATTTCCATTGTCACCTTTGCAAGTTTTCAGGTGATGCTGATATTATACTCTCAGGACCCCACTTTAAAAGCCACCTATAGGGTGTGTGCTATTATCAAATGTTCTGTGTGATTTTTAAATGCACAGCAAGTTTGTGAAATCCAACTTCAGTGCCATCAATATGGGAAAGAATGTACTATGTGATTTTTTTTTTTAATATCAAACACTGCTCTGGGGTGTCAATCCCACTTCACTGGGGCTAATTTCTTTAGCCCATATTGACTGAGGAAGCAGAGAATGCTAAGAAGTGTTTGAATCAAGCATCTTCCCCTTGGCAGGGAGTCCAAGTTGGAGACATCCGGCTTCGTCCCAGGATATGGATGCCTGTCATGTACAAAACCAGTCCCAGATTTTTCTAGTCTTTCACACAGGCTTGAACGAAGATGTGGCTGGAAACTGTGTGTGAGATCATGGCTTTAGGGACAACTAATATGATTTAGGCTGAATTTGGACCCTGAGGGATGCTTCCTGTAGATGCTGAGGATTAGTGGTAACAGCTGTTATCCTCCTCATTAGAGACATGGCTGAAGGAGAAGAAAGGACTTTTGTTTAAAGAGTGTGACTTTGCACTGAGGGGGGAAACTGCTCCATCAAGCCTGAAGGAAAGCGTCTCCCTAGGTAAGTGGATGGTTTTGGGGGGTTCAGATAGATAAGGTGCTGGTGGGAAAGACCCCACTAGCTGAGGTTGGGAGGGGTGAGATTTGTGACTGTGGCTGTGGAAGGGATGTCATACTCGCTCCCTTCCTCCCTAGCCCCGGTGTGTGATCTGCCTTTGGGAGGGACACCACCTTCTGCCACCAACAAGGGGTCAGGGGCACTTTCTAGGGACCCCTGTGAAAGAACAGGGCCTGGGAAGCCTGTGATGAGACTGTGCTTCTCAACTCATGGTCATTCTCTCCCAGTTAGAGGAAGCAGCAAACATGGTGCTGCGTGGGACAGGGTTTTAACCTGTGCCCCTTGGAAAACAAATTCAGAAGAGAAAGACCTTGTCTGAAGGACTCTTGAGACAAGCCTAGGGATCTGTTAGATCATATTCCCCTCTCTCTGCGGCTGGTGGTGGCGGTGATGGTTGTGGGAGGGTAAGACGGGTGGATGACCTGGCCTTTGGGTTGTGTGGATTGTCCTACTGTTTTTATACCTAGTTTCACTAAATTTGGGGGATTTTATTTTTACCTTTCAAAAACCAACTTTTTAAAGGGGAAGACTTTGACTTCTGTTGTCCCACAGATCAAAGTATTAAACTTTAAAATGCCTAGGTATAACACTATCAAAAAATAAGAACATAGAACTATTTTTAAAAATACCCCAAAGTCCTGAATATTTAATTCAGAGAGCTCTTATCTGCCTGCTTTGCTCTCTTTAACCTTAGTTTTAGGTGTAACTTCTTTATATTGTGTACTTCTCATTCTTTCTATGGGTGGGCATCTGAGGTGGTAAACAAAAATGAAATTTACTGTATTGGTGCTGTCAAATCCCATCATTGTGTTCTACCCCTGAGTCAAAGGTTTTGCAGACATATTAAACAAGGTACAGGATGAGTCATCTTGGGTGTGATCTCTCTGCTCATCTTCTTTGCTGAAAGTAGTGAAATAACTGAAAAAGGACAGGAGAAAGGAAAAGGGAATCATCAAAGCACTGCAAACTTAACCACTTCTAAATAATTGATATTTGGTAGAAATTTTGTAGCATTTAACTCTGTAGTTTGGATTGTAGAGGTAAGACGCTATTTCAAGTCCCCATATGTCTGTCATTCGCTTGCCCTTATTGGAACATTGTGGGGGGTCTGCCTCAACAATAACTTAGTACCCCCACCCTGCCCTTGGATATAGACAGATTGCAAGGAGTTCACTTCAGGATCCAAACGTTTTCAGGTATTATTTCTTTGACTTAATAATCAATGCTTTTTTTTTTCCCTAAAAAAAAGGCAATTTGGTCTTATGACAAAGTTACAAGAAGAAAAGTGGTTTTTTTAAGTGTTTGGAAATGAAACATTTCCTGTAGCCTGGCATGTCTGTTTGATTTTGACCTTGAGGAGGCAGCACTAAAAGCATCCCAGGTACAAAGGGAGTGAGGGATTCAGGTCAGTCACATTCAAAAAGACTTGTATCATTTTCTTAAATAGCATTTGGACTGAATCCCTTGTTTGTCACTAAATAGGGAAGGGCAGGATGAAGGTCCCAGCTACCTTTGCAGGCTGGGCTTGTGCCTCCCTCTTCCTGACTTCCTGCTCATCTGCCTTCTCCCATGGGGCCAGTGCCGTGGCGTGTGAGGATATGCAGCCCAGACACATCCAAGCCCAGCCCCAGCACTCCAGCTCCCACCACCTCACCATCCACACCAGCAGGTCCTACTCACCAGGTGACAAGATTCCAGGTAGGTATGGGAGGATTGGAGACACTCTAGGAGCCCCGGAGCCCTGGGGGGTCCTCCCAGTTGTGTTTACCCCAGGCAGGAACCTCCTGAACTGAAGTTTGGCTTATTCCTAAGAAGCAATTATGTGGCCAACACTAAGCATGAAATTTTTGTGTCATGGAAACCACAGGATAACGAATCTCTGTATTAGTAGCAATTCTGAAAAGAGAACAAAGTAATGTTATTATAAAACGTGATCTTGTCCTTATCATAAGATGAATATATGTTATCATAGATGGAAATATGGTACCCCAATATTGTATTGGTTGTGAAAAATATAATTATTCTCATTATTTAAAACTAAAACTCACCCATCAGTTAACACTTGTGAGATTATGGGTGTGTTGATTTGCTTGACTTATGGTCACCATTTTGCAATGTATATCAAAACATCATGTTATATACCTTAAATATATATGATAAAAATCTTTAAAAATAAAATTCAGTAGGGAATGATATTGGCCAAATTATATGGTTATATTGGGTGCATGCATGAATATGTGGTGATGAATTCCACCATTATACACAACTATAATGCACCAATAAAAATATGAAAAAAAATTAAAAATAAAATACAGGGATGAGGGTGTGTGTAGCTCAGTTTTATAGCATGTGCTAAGAATGTATGAGACCCTGGGTTCAATCCCTGGCACCCTCTTGCCACACACAGCCTCTGCTCACCTCTTTCTAATAGTTTGTTTACTCTAGGTATCTCGCCTACATGGATTTATATGTCATTTTGCATCTGACTTATTGCCCATATTATTTTTTCAGGGTCCATCGATGTTGTAGGATATATCATAGGAATTGTGTTTTAAATACAGAAGATGTTACACAGTTTTTAAGTCCAATACTAGAGAATGAATATCCTCATTTTTCCACAGTGCTACCGATACTAGTCATATTCATATTTCAATATTTGCTAATATGATAGATACAAAATAGTAACTCATTTACAACTGCTTTTAAAATTATGACCCAGTTTGTTTTATTTTCTATTAGTGTCCTTTCGTTATTTGGGGAGGGATCATCTTTGTACTGATTCACCTTAATTCTATGCCATTGTCTGTTTTAAATGTTATAAACACTTAGTTTATTATCTGTATTTTGATTTCATCTCCATCCATATTTTTTAAATATAGTAAACTTTACTCATCTTTTCCTTTTGGCAAATGGGTTTTGCTTAGAGAGGTATACTTATTTCTGATGTGTAAAAAAAAAAAATTGTTTCTAGTTTTTAATTTAATTTTTACATACCTTTGGTCCAAACAGTCTTTATTTTGGTGTGAAATAGGACTTGGACTGTTTTTCCTCCTAATGGTGTTCTCACTTTCTGGGAGAGGGTGACAGGTCTTCCACTCTTAGCTTTGAAAACACCCCCATCAACCCACCACGGGAGCTGAGCGGAGTGTTCTCTGTGGCAGTGACCGTGAGGAGCAGTCTGGATTTCATGGGGTTCCTGCTGCAGGCTCGGAGGGTGTCTGATCATCAGACGGCTGGCACTTTTGTCCTCATTCCTCCTCGTTCCCAACTGATCACTTGCTTTGAAGAGGCGGACGCAGTCACCCACTCTGACAAGTCCCCGAAGAGAAACCTCTCCTTCGTGTGGAAGGCCCCTGCTGAGCCTGTGGGGGACATCAGGTTCCTGTAAGTCAGGGAGGTGCTGTTTCTTGGTCTCTGAGTCTTTCATATCCTCGGTTCCCTTTGCCATACGTAGCCACCTTAGAACAAGGACAGGGTCCCTGCGGCTGCCTAATCCGGACAGCCTATGCAGAGGGCCACTAAACAGGGCTTTGGCCCCAGACCTTCCCTTCACCATTATCCACAGTCCTGGGGGGTGTTCTTTCCCTCTCCCGAGCTGCAGGTGAACCTTAGCCAACCTTTTCCAGAATTTCTCTCCAGGAAATTCTGACTAGAGAACAAAAGAGCTGGTGATAGGAGAGGAGGGACAGAGAGAGACGGAGGCAGATGGACAAATGGACACTTCCCTGGACCCGGGAGAGCCACTGCAGTCTCTGTGCCTTGGCATGTTCTCTACCAAATGGGCAGAATGAGCCTAGTGTGGTGGCACATCCCTTAGTCCTGGTACCCTGGGAGCTGAGGCACAGGACGGCTTGAGTCCAGTCTGGGTGACGTCACAAGTAAATAAATAAATAAAATGAAAATCAATTAAGAAAATCAATGGAGGGCATCCTGATTATACCATCCACCTCCTAGGGTTGTGTAAGGAGGAAAAGCAATGCATGCAGAGTACTTAGGGCAGTTCCAGTAAGAGTAAGCTTCATAACTTATCTTCGTTCCTCCAAATGAAATACTTATTTATCATTCCTTTGAGATTCTGCCATTTACCAAGAAAGAATTTTTCATCCTTCGGGAAAGGGGAGTGTGTCCCTGAGTTTCTTTCCCCCACATCCTTGGAAATACAGAAGGGAGACTGCACCCAAGGGTGGAGGCCTCTCCACCATGTTTGCCCTCTGCCCTGGGAGCCAGAGACAAGGGTCATGGCCCACCCCATGCTGTCCCTCCTCCATCCCTTCCTGGAGGCCAGGACAGCAGGAAGAGAACACTGCGCCCTCACAGGGCTGCCATGTGGTCAGGCAGGGGCCTGCTGGATGCTGGGTGTAACAGCCTCTGTCCTGGCCTCAGTTCTTATGTGGGGGAGGGGATTCTGCCACTTGAACTCCCTCAATCTCTCCAGTGGCTTTTCCCTCTCAAAGCCCCTCCGTTCTTATTTTGGGGTTCACCACCACAGTTGCCCTGTGCTCACAGGAAGTGGTTTAAAAGCTGTTGCCTCCACGTGACAGGAAAAGGAGCCCCGTCACTGGGTCAGAAGTCGTCCCCACAGTCACCTTGTACTCTCCCCTCCTGGAATCCCTGCCACGCACTGGTGACCAAGGCCTGTTCCAGGACTCCCAGTTGTTCCTTCTCTCTCTGGGAGACCTCAGCTGCATGAGTCACACGGTCCTGCTGTGACTGCCCTTGGAAAACGTAAAGTGGGAAAAATGATACTCGCCAAGAATATCTACCTCCCTGAAAATTTTGGAAGGATAAATAACGTTTGTGAAAGTGATTTGCACTGAAGAAAGGCATTGTGTGTTCCAAATGCTATTTTGAATAGTAATGATTTCTCTCTAACCTTCAATAGAATCTACAATTACAATAGAATCTTACCAGTGTACAATAGAATTTTGAAAACATAATTAATGATGTAATTAGTAGTATCTCAGTGAGGGTTAAAAATAAAGCTGAAGATGCAATCTTTTACTTGGGTCGAAACAGTTCAAGAAAACACCTGTTAGTCAAAATGAACTCTTCTTGGGGCTGGGGATGTGGCTCAAGCGGTAGCGCGCTCGCCTGGCATGCGTGCGGCCCGGGTTCGATCCTCAGCACCACATACAAACAAAGATGTTGTGTCTGCCGAGAACTAAAAAATAAATATTAAAAAATTCTCTCTCTCACTCTCTCTTTAAAAAAAAATATTTTAAAAAAAATGAACTCTTCCCCACCTGTGCTAGACAGGGAAACCAGGGCTTCATACCTGCTCAGCCAGAGATTTACCAGCCCCCAAAAGAGATTTTTGATGCCTATATTTATTAGGAGGGGGTTGTCAATTGTAGATACCCTCTCCTAGTCTAACTACTTACAACTCTTGAGTTTTCGTTTTATCCAACAATGAAGTCACTTAAAAAGAAAACAATCTCTCTCGAGTTCTTCCAAACATTTAGGTTTACTGTCCAGCATGTTGTCAACTTGCTATTCGGATGGACCAGGGTATTATTTAGGGGAAACTAAATCATGACTCACTCTGCTCTTTTCCCACAGTTTATCAGTAGTCCAGTCGTATTTTGTTTACTGGGCAAGGATTGAATCAGCTGTTGTGTCACAACAGACACTTAGCAGTGCCCTCTCTGATGACCACCACCGCGCTGTGCTGGGGACGCTGGTGCCAACCCCTGGGCGAAGGCTGGATGACTCTGAAGGGACAGCCACAGGTACAGCTGACCACTGTGCTTACAATCTGGTTGCCGTCGTTATTTACAGTGATCTATTTTCACTTACAAGTGACTACTGCCAGTTTCCTGTCCCTGCAAAACAAGCAATAAACACCTGCCTCTAGTGGCTGCAGCCCATCCCAGGAATGGAACGCGATAACTGGGTGGTAAGAGGGGGGGCTGCTCGTGGTTGCTTCATTGGCTCAACCCAACACACTTCCTCTGGCTCAACCCAACAAATTTAGATAAACCCTGGTGTGTGGGGCTGTGGGGGGACAGTTAGGGCTGCATTGCAAAACCAAAAGATGACAAGACCCTTCTACCTTCATCTTTGCTGGTCAGCATAGGATTTCCTTAGTCCCCTGAAGCTACACAGGGAGCACCAAGAAGAAATGAGCTATTTTTCTTTCTTTCTTTTTTTTTTAAAAAAAAAAAAAACCTCATCCAGTTTTTATTGTTACTTTCCATGGTAGGCAGATGGCTCTTTGCAGCCTGGGTTGGAGAACAGAATGAAGAATAAGAGACTGTTTCAATAGGAATCAACTTTTCCCTTGGTTTATGGCATGATTTTATCCTCCATTGGCCCATGTACTTCTGAAAAAAAAGAAGCAAAACAAACGACCAAAATCCCCTAACCAGACAGAGAAGGCCTGACCTCCCTAGCATCCTGTGACATGGAGCCGCTTCTCATTATCTATTTCTAGTTAAGGGTGCTGAGCAGACGCTCTCATGAAAACACCCAATCGCCTCCACAGAAGTTTCCATCCTTAACCCATTCAATCCCAGTTTCCTTTGTTCTTGATTCTTTCCTTAAAATTCTTAGTTGATACATTAAAGTCAAAATCCATCCAAATCCCTGCCTGTGCTCAGGGTAGCTGACCCAGGCACAGGGACAATCAAGGGCCACCCTCCCTTTTCTGTCCCTGTCCCCAAAACTTTGTTTTCTACTCTTGCCCCAGAACAGCTCCTCCAGTTTTCTGCCAACACACTCTTGGAAGCAGAGTGAAGAACTCAGGGTCTGAGAGGTGGCCCAGGGAACACCGTGCAGAACCAACATTGGCGGAAGTCTCATGTTTTACTTTATAAACCAGGAAAATGCTGCATCCAGCCCCAAGCACAACCATGTTTGTTTTCATATGGACGTGAATAGAAGAGAGTCATCAGGAGGGAGCGTCACATTGAATGCTCTGTCTCTCTGATACCTGCCTGTCCCACTAGACTGGTCCTTCCTGGGGTCGCAGATGCTAGTCTGAGCCGCTTACGGGGGGAAACTTCTCATTATACCAGCCGTGTTCCTCCCCTTCTGACTGTGCCTTCCTGCCCATTCTTCTACACAAACCCTAGTGATTCCCAAAGGAAGAAGGAGCATGGGTGTATGTGTGTGTATGTGTGTGTGTGTGTGTGTGTGTGTGAGGGTCATCTAATAAAATGAAATAGATTTCTTAACTATAAAAAGGCTTCAGTAGTTATATGTCAATGAGGACTTGTTGAAATTGGAAAAATAGTACATTGTGTTTCTCAAACATATTTGCCACAGACCCTCAGGGCATTTTGGGGTCCCACTGCACCCCTGGGGATGATTGACTCTTCTACTTCAAGCTTTCCCTCTGGGATTCCCTCAACGTGGGCGGTTCCTCATGATGATCTACATTGCTAGCAGGACCCAGCTCAAATATCTCTGTGACAAAAGTTTTTCTCATACTTCTTGGTAGACTAGTGTCTTTCTCCATGTAGGTGGCTGTCAGAAGATATCTTTGACTGGGTTATTTCTAAGCAACAGAAATTCACTGCTCACAATTCTGGAGGCTGGAAGTTCAAGATCAGGGTACCAGCAGTGTCTGGTGAGGGACCAAGCCTTATAGATGGCGCCTTCTATGTGTCCTCACATGATGGAAGGGGTAAACAAAGCCCCCCAGGCCTCTTTGTAAGGGAACTAATTCCATTCGTGAAGGTGCTGCCTTCATGAGCTAATCACCTTCTTCAAGACCCACCACTACATTGAGGTTAGGTTTCAACACATGAATTTGGGGGAACACACTTCAGACCATAGCAGCAAAAGTAATTGCTTCCCTAGCTCTGGAATTGAAGTCCTCTTCACATTTATACTTTGTAAGTTGAGCATGTAGAATCTCACCTCCTAGATTTTGAGTTAAGGGACAATAATCACGAGTCTGCCTCAATTCTGCATGCCCAGACACCAGAAAAACTCCCAGCATGCATTGGGTCTGTCCACAACATCTGAGTGCAATTTGAGTTCAGGCAGGAATTCCAAACTGTCCGTTGCTGTATGTGCCTGGGTTATACTACTTTGTTCTTCTCCTCAGTGTTTTTGGATGATGAAAACATTGGAAAAAAAGGGGCACCAAACACTGGCCAGATGAACTCTGCCAACACTGTTTTGGTCTACACCAACCCTATCATCTAAACCATGACTGTGGTTACCCCTTACTCAGTGCTGCTTGTGTGCCAACCACAGTGCTTCAATTATTTTATGTCGTCCCTCAACAGTTCTGAACCATGGGTTCTGTTATTGGCCCCATTTTGCAAATAAACCTAATGCTCTGGGAAGACTTGCCCAAAGCTAGGAGTTAGCAGAGAGGAACATGGAGCCCAGATCATAATCTGACTCCAGAAGGAGCCCTTGCTTGCTTGCTGCCCTGTTTGCAGCTATTTCTAATGCTCTGAGCCCTGTGTTAGACTGTCACAGATGGGAAATCAGCTGGTGGAGGGTAGTGGAGGTCAGTGGTCTCGCCTCTGCCCATAACAGACACTCAAGTCGTTATCATCACCAGGGAAATTTAGAGTGTTAATAATATATGGCAAAAGACACATGGCAAAAGATCTAGGGTTTTAAGACATCTGATTTGTGGATTCTACTTTTCTTCTAGCTAGAGTTTCTGGCAGAGGTGAAAACAAAAATACAGTGGTCCAGTGGCTTCTCTATTCCCTGTGTGGTGGCAGTTAAGAACTTACAAGTCCAGAAGAGCCAGTGACTTCCTCCTTAAAGAGATGTGAGAAATCAGTGCTTTGCTACGTGATTAGGAGGTTATGTTACTGAGCAGATCATCTTCCTGTTGACATTTTTGAGTGCCTCACATTTAATGACCATTCTTAAGGCACATTAGAGTATCCACTATCTGCCCTGTTTTTGTAGACATTTGTACAAATCAATATGGGGAAAATGCTCTCACCGTCTCTGTGGTGTCTTCAGGCCTGGGCTCAGCTCCCAGTGCCCCATCACACTTTAGCGATGGCACAAAGGTGTTGCTGTTGTTTTTACAGGAGCTTCAGAAGAGGGCAGTTCACATCCTGTCCCTGCTAGTATCGGGGTGACAAAGTTGCCTGGGGACACAGAGACTCTGTCCCAATCACCGTCATGTATCGCTACTGCAAGCAGCGATGGCCAGCAACCCAGGGGAGACAGCAATCGAATCCTAGAACCATCCCTGGATTTCCATGGGCTGGAGCGGCTTGTGGCCCTCAAGAGGTTCTCCTCAGGGGGATTTGCTTCCAGCCTGAGCAGCCACCATAGGTAATGGGTGATGGAATTGTGTGTTAATCAGCTCTTCATCTTTGTGACCAAAATACTTGACAAGAACAACTTAGAGGAGGAAAAGTTTGTTCTGGGTTCATGATTTAAGAGGTTTAGTCCATGGTCAGCTGATTCCATTGCTCTAGGCGGAGTACCATGGTGGAAGGGCATGGCAAAGGAGAGTGCTGAGCTTATGACAGCCAGGAAGGGAAGAGGGGCCAGGAAGGAAACACAAACTCCAAACGCACACTCCCCGCCAGCCCGTGACCTACTTCCTCCAGCCATGCCCCGTCTGCCAATCATTGCCACCTAGTTAGTCCGTTCAAGGATTAATGTAGTGATTAGGTTACAGCTCTCAAAGTCTAATCATTTTACCTCTGGACATTCCTGCATCATCTAACATGAGCTTATTGGTGGACGCCTCCTATCCAAACCAAAACACATGGGTCATTTGGTACAGGTGGTGAGATGAGGCTAAATATTGTGGCACTTGGAGTCTGATGAAAAAAAATCTCAGCCATATTTATTTATAAGTGCGCAAAAACCCTTATTGTAGCAAGGCTACTGGTCAGAAGAGCTGGGTATGATAATCGCCCAGGGAAACCTCCTTTCTTGGACGGGTGAGATCTCTGAGAGGCTGCTATAAGTAAAATAAAATCATTTAATATTTAAATATATTTATGGTATGATATATAAATATTATGTAACATAATAAATTATAGTTCTTGGTGAGTTCTTTACTACTATTCTCACTCACCCCACCCCTCACTTTCCCTTCTGTCTTCTCACCCCAAACTCAGGAGTTATCCCAGGGAAATCTGAAACCATCAGCATTTAAAACAATGGTAGGAGATACTGCTTTTTCATCCAAATACTTAATGACCCCTTCTCAGCCCCCGCATTCTTCCCTTTAGGACTCAGGATGATCCAAGCTTTCATTCCTTGGAAACGTGCCTGCCCTTGGATAGGGATGAACAGGTAAGAGCTTCAAGGGTGAGTGGGGGTCAAGGTTGGTATTTTGATCCCTGAGTGGGAAGTTCCAGGAAAACAGAGCTACCAGACTAGCGGCTGAAGAGAGAAGGCAAGGATATGATATATACGAAGTGTCTTGGTACTGATCAATACCAGCCATGGCTTTCTATGCAGTATCTCTGAAGTTATCAGCAATTGTAGAAATGGATGGTTTTAGAGATTTGTTTGCCCACTTAGCTGTGGTTAATAATTCCTTTTCTCTCCCCCTCCACTTCTCCTTCATAACACGAGCCTGGAAACAACATGGATGGCTTAGAGGGTAGATCAATGGGCAATATAAAATATACATGCCCCCTGATTTACTCTTCCTTTGAAGCCTTAGAAGGAACACAAAATAAAACATAGTATAATATTCTTTCTTGAATTTATTAGAACCTTCAGCAAGATTAAACGGTCCCTGCTGCCTGGGTCCTGCCTTCAAAAAACATACTCAAAGCCTTCAGCACCAGGAATGATGCAGTTCCCCTGTGGGCTTGGAAACCTCTTAGAGGATCCGAAGCTTGTTCTAGTAACTGGCCTCCACACTCTGAGTGGGGTTTCCATTAGCTGCTCTGTCCCCACTGATAACAAATGCAGAGTTATCTACTTGGGCATTTTACTTTCAGCTCTTTTAGGAATAAGCAAGAGGTTGGGCCTAAAAGGAACACAAATTAGTGGTAAAGTTTATTGGCAAATTGGGGGGAAGGTCAGCTCCTTTAACTTATCTTTTCTTTTCTAGGATGAGATGACAGCCTCTAATAGGTCACCAGTGAGGCTTGCTCTGTACACTGGCCACCTTACCCAGCCCCGAAGTCTCTGGTCTTCTGAAGCGTCCACTGGGAGGGGGGTGGGGGAATCCAACACAACCCCTGACTTTCACATCTCTAGTGCTTCCCAGCATCAAGTGGCTGGTGGCCAGGCATCAAGGCCCTCTGCCAAATTTGTACCTGAGTCAGAGCACAGGGATCCCAGAATGGGGACAGGGGAGGGAGAAGGTGGTGTGGGACACCCTAGCAAGACTGTGAGGCCTGCAGTCGGGCAGGAGGGCGGCAGTGCCCCTTTGGGGATCCAGCTCAGCACGCCGCAGCTGGGCACCTTACTCTGTCTGTCAGCCACCCTGGGCATGGCCCTGGCTGCTGGCCTTTGCTACCTGCATACTCAGCATTGCCACAAGCGAACAGAAGTGTCCTTCAGTGAGCCAGCCTCGGATGCCATCGCCAGGAGCGACGGTGGGGAGACTGTTCACATCAGGAAGATTGGGGAGAACAGGTTTGTTTTGGTTCAAGCGGAATACAACAGGGTCTCTCCTTCAGAGGTAGCAGGAAAGCAGTCCTCTGAAAGGACTCTTGTGGCGGGGCTCCCAGTGGCCTCCTTCCACTCTGCAGAGCGGCTCAGTCAAAACAGGACTAATGAGAATTCCTGATGAGGATGGGGATTCACGGTGCCTTCTGTCAGCACGCAGCCAGCGGAGGAGGCAGCGAGAGGCCCGGCTGATCAACAGAGGGAGTTCTCACCCAGCTTTGTTGTCTTAACATCTGTAATTTAGCTCCTTTTTTTTCCTTTTTGCAATTAGACGTTCTGTTTGAAGAGTTAAACTCGACACAATGAATATTGTATAACCTGCTCATTAACTAGACTCCTGTGGCCACCAAGCTTCCTCTGTTGCCTTGAGGAACCCGCTGGAATAGACATTCTCCCCTCCTCAGTGTCTCAGCCTCATCTCCTCTAACTCTTTGAAAAGAAGTAATGTTGGGTTTGTGGCTTTTGCAATAAAAAAGAACTGCAGCCCTCTCTTTCCTCTCTAAACCACCCTAGAAGTTTACTTTTCAAAACTGGGGCTCAAAAAAACAAGTTGGAACTCTGTTCAGTTGCTTAGGTGAATGGGAGTATATTTGGTCTGCTGAAAACTCAGCAGTCTGGCAAATCTGCCATAGAAATTAATCCAAAGCAAGAACGTTTAGAGAGTCTGGTTGAATACATCTTTGGGAAAACATAAGCCCTAGAGCAGGGCAGAGCCTCCCTATCAGATGTAAATGGATCCGGGACTTCCCAACCATTCACACTTGATGGAAAGACTTGTGTTTCTCCACAAGTACCAGACATCTTGCCTTTGCCAAAGGTGAGGCTGGAAAGAAAAATATTACCAGCAGAGTTTGGAGAACAGCTGTTACCTTTTTTCTCAGGGGATGTCAGAAAGAAACCTTCATGGACGGACACTGTCCATCTGATCTCCTCTCTTTATGAAATTCACTTTGATTTAGCAATGGTTCCAGGGATCTAAATAGTGTCAAAACATTAGGGTTGACCAGAAATTCGGAAAGGATATTTAGTTATCTTGCACCTATTTCAGAGAGGTAGGATACTGGTAAATTAGCGTAGGTTTTTCACATTTGGTCCTCACAATAATTTAATAAGAAATGAATTCAGTAACTTTCCAAGGACAGCAAGGCATTCATGACACCCCAATTCAACAACAAAAAACATTTTCTTAAAAAGACTGAGTGTCTATTTCAACAGCCTACTTTAGCTCATTGGGCATAGCTCCTTCTGCACCCTGGACTAGGCAACTCCTGTCCCCAGCTTCAATCCTGAGGCACTGGTTGGTAATCTGTGTGTTCATGAATGAGCATGTTCTAGGAAGGCTCTGGAAAGAAAACACATGTGCTGTCCCACAACGGGGGCACAGATAGCCCTCCTTTATACCCAACCCTCCTAAAAGACGACCTTCCTCCCAAGATGCAAATACGGAGCTCATTAGTCATTGTTCTCATCTGGCCACATCACCTCCAAGAGCTTCAGGTCCAAGGGGCAATTTTCTTATGTTAAAGTGTTAGCTATGGATGTAGAACAAATCATCCCAAAACTTAGTGGTTTAAAACAATCTCTACCACCACCATTTTTTCTCCTTCCTGATTCTGGAGTTACCTGGGCTCAGCTGGGCCTTTCTGAGGCTCCTTGAGTTGCTGAGGGGCTGGGACATCTGGATATGGCTCACCTGGCTGGCAGGTGGTGTTGGCTGTTGGCTGGGCTTGTTGCTGAAAATGGGAAGCCATCTGGCTCTTTTTTTTTTTTTTTTTTTTTTTTTTTGTGGCTTCTTACACCACACTGCCTGCAGAGGGAGAGTTCCAAGAACATATAACCCAAAGCTGCAGATCTCGTAGGACCTCACCTTGGTTTCACTTCTGCTTCTCTCTGCCAGTCAGAGCAAGTCACAGGACCAGCCCCCACTGAAGATCAGTCAATTTCACCTTTTTGACAGGTGAGTTGTCAAAGGATATGCAACCATCTTTAATTCACCACTAGTTCTGGTTAGACCGCTGACCTGCTCTGGGGTTCACCTGAGAGTAGAAGGAGGGGCTGTTCATCCCAGGTGGATGCCCTCAGTCGCCTCCCCTGAAGAGCATCAGAGCAGTTGAGAGAACTCTCTGACTCGCTCAGGCGTTTTCTCTTCTCCTGGCGCGTTCTGGCTCAGGCAAAAGAGTGAAGTTCTGCAGAAAGACAAGGTAGACCTCTGAGCCTTGGCTTCCTCATCAGAGAAAAGGGAATCAAGATCATTCTTTTGGTTGTTGTAAATATTAAATGATTGCACACTTGGCTGTCTACCCATAGCTAACGGATCTGACATGCCATTGCTATTAATGTCATCCTGCAGCTTCAATATTGTCCTTAAATCTTGCCCATTTAGAGAGAATTCTGTGACCACAGACAACTGTCATTCCCTTGCTATGGCAACTCCCACCCCTGTGCAGCCCCACCCCCACCCCACTTTCCTGCAACTTGAGGGGTCGTGTGGAACCAGTTGCCATGGTAGCCACTGGCTACAATTCCTGCCATGTATCAGATATGTTGCTGCGACATTTTGACTCAACTGTCTTGGCAAGGGCGCCTGGAGCATAGCCACACAGTCCAGCCACATCAAACCCCTCTGTCACTGTGTTCTTCAAGGTCCCCCGAAAGGCTGGCTTCAGAGCAGCCCCAAGGGAGTGAGTAGGAAGTGTTAACTTAATCTGAAGACTGTTACTAAATCACAAAGCCATTAAAAGTTTAAAAGAGGCAAAGGACTCAAATGCGACATCTTAAAATAACTTTTTTGCTTGTTTGTTTTGTAAGCACAGCTATAGAATCCTTCAGCCAACCTCTTCTTGAAGGAAAGGGGTTTGAGACTAAACACATATTTGAGGGAAAATAATGGAAAAACAATTGCTGAAAACTCTGTATCTTAAGCAGATGTTTTTACACCTATTGCGCTACTTTAATAACCACAGGTCAGGGATTAGAATGGACCTTAACCTTTCTACATTCAGAGACTATTTCTGATATTGCCAATGGATTTTTTCCCCACAGATACAATTTTGGTCAACCACCACTTAACACCTAGGCATAGCTTGATTGAGATACTCACAGTTGAAGCTGTCAACATTTATTTGCTGTTACAATGTTTGTTTTATTTAAAAAAATTAATTAACAACGATAATGACAACAACCAAACCAAAACAAAACAAAGGTCATCAAGTCAACAAATATTTAAACAAGTGTCAGGATTTGTTTGAAAAGTTGTCTGGGAAGAGCTGGCAATTTCTGAATAAATTAACAAATGATGGTCAGACCCTCTTCCTGTCTTGAACTTCCCGTGTTAATTATGGATTGCAGTCTTTCTGGAATGCAGAATTTAAAATTTTTATTTCACTCTGACCTATCCCTCTTCTACAAGTAGTGCACAGCTAGAAATTTCTTTTATTCAAGTGAGATGGAGTCTGCATTAATTTGTCTTATTAAACTTGAACGCTGCTCCATTCTTCTTAAGATATTCCAAAGCATTTTGCAAAATCAGCCATAGCAATCTCTGGGTTAGACTATCAGGAGGAACTTTGTAATAAAAGGAATGCTAATGTTTTGGCTGTTCATAGGTTCTTTAAATGCAAAAAGAAAATGTCAACATTTAGAGACTCCTGGTCCCAGGGAAGGCAACTTCGGTCTTCAAAGGCCTTTGGAGCTTTAAAAAGCAAAACAACAAACAAACAAAACAAAAAACATGAATCGGTTTATGTCACACTATTTCTGACTTCTCTAAAGGCTTTCCATCTCTTTCAGGGTAAGATTTCAACATCTGCTGGGGATGACCAGGTCCTGGGAGACGTGGCCTTCCAACATCACCCATTGTTCCTGGCTCCAGCACAGTCTCTGGGTTGCCAGGGACACCCCAAGGAGGTCCACTCATCCCTTGGCTCTCGCTGTCCTTGTTGTCTGGACTCTACCCCCCAGACATGCACAAGGCTTCAGAACCCTGCTCCCATGCTGCCTCACTAGACCATGGTCACCTCTTCCCACTCCAAAGCCCCTACCCTGCTGTGGGGCATGGATAGCCGTTATCACCCACTGAGTCATGTAGTTATTTGTTTTTATTTTCTGCTTTCCAGCCCCGCCCCAGACTTGGATGCTTGCACGGACTTTGTTTCATTCACTGTTAGATCTCAGTTCATAGTTCCTTGTATCATTCCTGGTCCGTACATAATCCATAAATAATCAAAAATCATAGATAATAAATCTTTTGTTAATGAGGGAACAAGAAGTTCAATATTCATGGTACTTTCACCAGCTCTTTGTGTAGAGTAAAGCTGACGAGGTAGCATCTTGAGCAGCTCCAGGTGCTTGGGAACTGGGCAAAGCAAATTCTCTCCCTAGAGATAAACTGAGAAGTTCTATGGGCATCTGTCTTGGGTCTTGTGTCTCAGATCCAAGGCTCCAGGGAGGAGGGGAGCTTAGACTTAACCTCCCAATGACCCAGGGCTAAAAAAAAAAAAAGCTGCAGGAGGTCTTCCCCAATCAGAAGCTCCTCTGTTAGCATGTTTTCTTCAGTTTACAGTTTGTACAGGGTTTTTCAACATCCACACAGTCAACATTTGGGGTTGAGTCATTGTCTGTGCTTTGTGAGATGTTTGGCAGCGTCTCTGGCCTCCACCCAGTAACGCCAGTATCTCCCTCCTCCCCACTTAAAACAACCAAAAGTGTCTCCAGACTTTGCCAAATGTCCCCTGGAGGCAAACCTCCTCTCTGGGAACCACTGGCCTAGTAACTAAGAGATGCAATTACAGGTTCCAGATGAAGTGGCATTTCCTAAGTCATTCCCACATTCAGGGATGAAGTGGCTAGGACTGGAAACAGAGTGGCTTTAAAGACTCTCCGACTGGGTGCTTTGTGAATTTTAAAAAAATTTTCAGGCAAAACAATGAAAGTGGAATGTTCTAGTCAAAGTTGGGGGACATCTTCCTCTTTGCCTTTCATCTTCCCTGAGGCACTGAAATTTGGGGCCTCAACAGGCACAGCCTGAGAACCACTAAGGACACCTTCTTTGATGAACCTGGCCCCCAGAGGTCACAGTCAAACAAGTTAGTCTGGAGTAATCCTCAGATTCCCTCGATCCAT